ATGGTTTCTCGTGTACTTCTCTTGTGGCTTGTTAGCTCCGTTCATTTTTTGATTTGTTTACTGGTTTGGCCTCGATGGTTCTTGTTCGGTGTAGTTGTTTGGCTCTGTTTTGGTCGATGATCTCTGTATGATCCCCCCTTGCATGGCCTCACCGAGGCTTTTATATCTCAGTTTTGGCCGTTTGGGTTCCGACGATCTCGGGATCGTGGTGGGTTGTTGCCGAGTATCCCGGGATGATTCAGTCCCAGGGATCTCGGCCGGACACTTCTGGCCGTTTGGCATGACTGTTGATTGGCTGTGTTGCTTTCCCATACGGCGCAGTGCTGTGAGACGTGTGGGAAACCCTAAGGGTCTTGGGCTGGTTCAGGCCCAACTGCTTGACCTGTGCACTGGACTGGATTCTTGGACCTGTACAAACACCGAAAAAAATGATAAAATAAATAATGAATAAAAAAGAATAAAATACTATATGATAAAAAAAATGTTTTAAAACTTTATATAATATATATTTCGAAGATATTTTCAAAACCATATATTACATAATTTTAAAAAACGTTTTCAAACAATATGTTATAGTTTTCAAAAACGTTTTAAAACTATATTATATGTTTCAAAAATGTTTTTTTAAACTATATATTATATAAATTTTAAAATGATTTTAAAACTATATATTATATAAGTTTTGAAAATGGTTTTAAAAACTATATAATATATATGGTTTCAAAAATATTTTCAAAAACTATATAATATATTTGTTTTCAAAAAATGTTTTCAAAAACCATATATTATATATTTTCAAAATGTTTTCTTTTTAGAAAACCATATATTATATAGTTTTCAAAATGATTTCAAACTATAATATATATATATATAATAAAAAAGATTGACGAAAATGAGTGTCTACACATGTAATCGATAGCTACGGGGGTTTTGAGTACGCTCATTGATCCTTCTATTTCGTTGGCTAGGATTTGGTGTGCTTTGCACTTGCACGGGGTAGGAGTTCCTTAAGATTCGCTGGTCTGGCATTCAAGCCATATTCCAAAGAATTCGGTGATTTCTTGGATGGTGGTAAGGGACAGATTTCCAACAAGGAGTCGATTAATTTCTTTTGGTTGGAATAATGAGGGCACTTGCTTGTTGTGTTTGAGTGAGGTTGGGACTCGTGGCCATCTCTTCTTTGAGTGTTCTTCCTCGAAGTGTGTATGGGAATGGATTTTGAGAGCTTGCAACCATTTTAGGCTAGTTATGTAGTGGAATAAGGAGCTGAGTTAGGCATGTAATAATGCCAAGGGTAAGTCTCTTATTTCTTTCTTGTTTCGTTTGGCTTGGAATAGGCGCATTGGTTTGTTACAGAAAGAAATGAACATGAGATATTTGGGGGAGGGGGGGTTCCAAATCGAAGGCTGATTTGGTGGGTAAATTGAAGGAGAATATTCGTATAAAAGTGGCCAATAAACAGCCGATAAGTTTCTTACAGCTTAATGTTGCAGGTAGTATGGCTTTAAATATTAATGAGTAAAGTATAGCGTATGTCTTTTTTATTTAGTTTTTGTTCTTGTACAGACTTTGTTCTTTGGATATAGAAGTGTAACATTTATCCTAAAAAAATTGGACTTTTGTCAAATGTTTTTGAAAAAGGTAACCGTTTTTTGGTGAATCTTGAGCTTATTTTCTTCATGGGTTTTGTCTAAATTCTAGCCATTTTGATACACGTTTTATTGTGGATACCCATAGTTCATTGCACTTTTTCGACCTTATACAAGAAGCGAAAGAGAATGGATGATTCTAAATCTGCTGTTGAAACAAGAACTGTTCATCTCCCAATAACTCCATGAAAGCAAGCTCAAGAACTAAAATTTCAAAGTTAATGCATTTCATTTTAGAAATGAAAAAATGAAAAATGAAAGAAAGTGAGTGTCACACCCCAAATTAGGGCCTAAATTTTTTTAAGAATTAAATTGAAATTTTAATTAAATTTGGGGATGAAATTAAAATTTTGATTAAATTCGGATCCAAATTCAAAAATTATTAAAAAAAACTGAAGGACCTATGGCATGATTTTGTCATTTTCTTTTTAGGTTTTATATAACCCCAAAATCTGGAAATTTTCCATTTGAAAACTAAATTCCTCTCTTTTTTCAGACATTTTCTCTTATAGAAGGAAACCTTTGATCGTCGATTCATCGTCGAATGTTGCTCCATTTTTGACACCTCATGCACCATCGTGTTCTTTGCATCGTCCTGAGTCCTTCGATATCCATTTTGTCTTCGTTAATCAAGCGGGTAAAACGGTGAAAAAGATTAAGTTTTCGACTTTTCGAAATCGAGCTCTCCGCCGTTCACCGTTGTGAACCGAGCTTGGAAAATGTCTCAAAATCCCTTAAAACGCAATTAGGAATTATTTTTAGAAAATTTTCAACCCCCTAACCGCCGGGTGGACTGCTTGGAAATGGGCTGATCTGACCTGACCTGATCCAACCGCTGATCGTTGGCTTTGACCAAAAAGTCAAAAATTTTGAAAAAGTCATATTTTAATTTTTCGACGCTCTGAGTCTGATTATTCAAACCATTTTGTTAAATTTTGATCCGAAAGCCCCAAATCGAGCTTGTTAACCCAAAAATGCTTAGTATTTTAGCATTTTGCTTATTTATTTGAGACTTGATTACGGAATTGGTCCAAGAAAATATTTTTATGAAGGAACATGTGTTTTACCTGACCGATGGTCAGTTAGATCCGGTATTTCCCTTCCGTCAGATCTGTACGATCCGCACAATCTGCGTTTCTCGAGGGTTACTTGTTGGTGTCTTTATATTATTTAAATAGAGGTTATTATTATTTATATTAGGATTTTGATATGGATTTTTCGATTCACAAGATCTAGCACTACCACTGATTGCGATCGGCAGACTCAGTAGTAGGTTTTCCTATCAAATTACTCAGACTGGTACAAGTGTGTTTCATGATGGTGTTATATTACTGTTTTAAACTATATATCCGAATTGCTTTAGATTTCTGATTATACTAAATATTTTTTATGAGACAGTACATGATTTTCTGAATATTGTTTATCTTATATCTGATTTACAGCATAATTCTAATATGATCTCTGGTTACGGTATTTCTGTACCTGATTTCTAAATATGGAACATTTTCATGTTTTAATGGATTAACTACCGTTTTCACTCGAATACATACATGTTTATTACTATATTAGGGGTATTATTGGAGAAAGTATATCAAGCCTAGTCTATTACTTGTAATACCTTACCGTAGGCTCCTCGGCTTTGTGATCTAGGTAAGTCATTACCGTATGTCCATTTTCTATATGTATAAGGCCCTTATCTGGTGTATAGGTTGGTGTATAGTTCATGGGAACTTACACATTCTGGTGATTAGATTGGGGTAGTGTTCATATTTTTAAAACATGTTTGATAAACCGATTTTGCTGAAATATTTTATATGTATGTTTTTATACACCATAATGAGCACACTCGGTTTTTTAGCTCATTCTTTAAATTTTAAATCTTTCAGATAACAACAGACCTTTATGCTAGTAGACTAGGCATCAGGAGGACCGATTTCTCCTAATTTTTTACTATTGTATATTTCTATATGCATTTCTGTTATATTTTGGTGACAAGTGTTTTTGCTTCTGTCTTGATATATATGTATTATCGGTATTTTGATATGTATATGTTTTATACAGGTTTCTGAGATATGTATACATATATGTTTATCGTATACGTATATGTTTATCGTATGAATATTTTTTATGAATTTTAATGTTATTTTAAAAATGAAAAGAATCTTTGAATAAGATATGTAACTACCTAGATTTGGGCAAAACGTCCAGGCCGGGTCTAGGGGTTACACTTGGTGATATCAGAGCTTTCGGTTTTAAACATTCGGACTATGTATGAGTTATAGACTTTGGATTTTTAAGAAATTTTAGATATTTTCAAAAAATTTGTCACCTTATTTTATGAGTTTTAAATATATTTGAAATCTCTGATGCTAGTCTGACTTAGCTTCAAAATCTTTCTGTTGAGCCCTATAGATTTATCCGATGAGTGTTGCTAGAGGTTGTAAGCCAGGTCATGGTCGTGGTCGTGGGCGAGTGACTTGATATTATATTACGATAGACGATCTTATGCCTCTACAAGATCCTCATGTTCCACATGTAGATCCATCTATTTCTCATGATGACCCGGTTACTCATACGAGGGACCCTCCTGTCACTAAGGACGATGACACTAACATGGATGAACATGCCATTAATAGATATGCCTTTTGTATGCTAAGGAGAGCTGCTAGAGCCCCTGGTAATATGTCTGCTATCTAAATTTAGAGGTCTTTAGTAGTTGCTGAAGTAGTTCTATTTGAGGGCATTACTGGTGGACCTCCGATTGACGATGAGTATTGGTTGGAGGATACATAGAGAATTATGGATGAGATGGACTTGAGGCCTGAGAAAACGTTAAATGGGGCCCTTGTTATACTAAAGAAATAGATTTTTTTATGGTGGAAATCGATTTCCGGTAGTATTTCGGGAAATCAATTGACTTGGGATCATTTCAAGATACATTTTCGGAGTCGTTACATCAGAGAGAGATACTTCCATGAGTGATGCCAGGAGTTCTAGAATTTGGAGCTGGGTGATATGTTTGTTATGGATTACGAGATTAAGTTTATTATATTGACCCGCTATGCTACTAGACTTGTTGATATTGAGTTGGATCGGTACTTAAGGTTCGAGAATTAACTCATGTATGAGATCAGGATTCGAGTTGCTACCCATAGGGAGAGAAACTTTGATGCCTTGGTTGAGATAGCCAAGACTGTTGAGGAGATAGAATGAGTGGGTATAGAGTGAAGGAGATATAGAGATCGAGATCGAGACCGAGACCGAGACCGATTTAGTAGATCTTCTATTTATGTTGACTCTTCTACACGCCCCAGCAAGAGATGTAGGGGTGAGTTTTTTCAGAGAGTTGGTATGAGTGCCAAGCCTCTGGCATCAAGTTCGTCAGCTGTGACGCCTTCTATTCAAGGTGGTCCTTTTGGATCCAAGACTTTGTCGTCATGTGAGCATTGTGGGAGATGTCATTTTGGTGAATGTAAGAAGAAGTTGGGTACCTGTTTTAGATGTGGTTATGGTGACTATTTCTTAAGGGATTATCCAGAGCCAGCTCCTATAGTTCAGACACCAGCTCGTACTCCCGCACGTACTCAGAGTAAAGTTTAGACTCCAACAGGGGTCGTAGTTAGGAGAGAGCATCTGGATCGACTAGTAGAGGCCGAGCATCTCAGAGTAGGGGTCTAGCCAGATCTGAGGCCAGACAGTCTACACTGGTTTACACTGCTAGACGTCGACAGGATCGCGATGAGCTTTATGTGATTTCATGTATTGTTATTATTCATTCAGTTTCCTACTCTACATTGTTTGATAATGGTTCTACCCATTTCTATGTGTCGTATTCCATTTTTGAGGGATTTAATATCCCTGTTGAGAATACTGAGAATTCAGTGATAGTTCAAAGTTCGTAGGTCAGTCCATAGAGTTAGATCGTATTTATAAAGGTTGTCCTATAGGCATCCATGGGAAAATCTTTCTGGCCGACCTGATGGAGTTACCTTTGGAAGAGTTTGACTTGATTCTTGGCATGTATTGGTTGAACAAGCATCGAGTTAATCTCGATTGTGAAACCAAAAGAGATTTTTTGAAGACTCCGGATAACCAAAGGATTGTGATGATCGAGGAATATTGTGGATTCCTGACGATTGTTGTGTCGGCATTTCTAGCTGAAAGGATTATCAGGAAGGGTTTTGAGGCGTCTCTTGCTTATATTCTGTATACTAGGAGTTCTCGATCTGACATTGAAGGCATCCAGATTGTTAAGGAATTTCTTGATGTTTTCCCTGAAGAGTTGTCTGGATTACCATCGAATAGAGAAGTTGAGTTTGAGATTGAAGTTTATTCTGGTTCTACCCCGGTTTCGATGGCTTCTTATCGTATGGGCCCAAATAAGCTTAAGAAACTGAAATTCCAACTCCAAGTGTTACTGGATAGAGGATTTATTCGACCTAGTGCTTCACCGTAGGGAGCCCAAGTTCTCTTTGTCAAGAAGAAAGATGGGACATTGAGACTCTATATTGATTACATGAAGCTGACCAAGCTCACGGTTAAAACAAATATCCTCTACCTTGAATCAATGATATGTTTGACCAATTTCGAGGGGTTTTTACCTTTTTGAAGATTGACTTGAGGTCTAGTTATTACCAAATCAAGGTGAAATATTTTGATGTCCTAAAGACTGCTTTTTGTACTCGATATGGGAATTACAAGTTTTTAGTTATGTCATCCGGGCTAACTAATGCCCCTGCTGCTTTTATGGATCTGATGAATCAGGTGTTTCGAGCCTATCTAGACCAATTTGTAGTTGTGTTCATCGATGACATAATGGTGTATTCTCAAACTGAAGTAGAACATGATGAGCATTTAAGGATCATTCTACAGACTCTGAGAGAATAAAAATTATACACCAAGTTAAGCAAGTGTGAGTTATGGCTCCGCGAAGTGACTTTCCTTGGATATATCATTTATGCTGAGGGTATCCAGGTGGATCCGAGTAAAGTGGAGGCTATTTTAAATTGGAAGCAACCCAAGAACATCTCATAAATCCATAGTTTCGTGGGCTTAGCTGATTATTACCATCATTTCCTTAAGGGGTTATCCATTATTGCAACTCCTCTCACGAAACTGTTAAGGAAAGATGTTCCATTTGTCTAGTCTGATGACTAACAAGCTAGCTTTGAGAAACTGAATATTGTTATAACTCAAGCCCTAGTGTTGATTCAGCATGAGTCGGGGAAAGATTTTTCTGTCTACAGTGATGCTTCTCACTCTGGATTAGGATGTGCTTTGATGCAAGATGTGAAGGTTGTTTCTTATATGTAAAATCAGTTAAAGTCACATGAGCGTAACTACCCCACTCACGATCTAGAGTTAGCTGCCGTGGTTTTTACTTTGAAGACCTGAAGACACTATCTCTACGGAGAAAAATGTTATATTTATACCGATCATAAGAGCCTTAAGTATCTGCTTACTCAGAAATAGTTGAATTTGAGGCAGCGTCACTGGTTGGAGCTTCTAAAGGACAATGATTATGAGATAAAGTATCATCCAGGGAAGGCTAATGTGGTGGTTGACGCCTTGAGCCGTAAGGCGATATCCGATCCAAAACCCTTATTTTCCAGTTTGAGTTTGTTTGATGATGGCAGCCTATTAGCAGAGTTACAAGTTAAACCCACTTTGGTCGAGGAGATTAAGGCTAAACAACTCCTAGATAGCTCCTTACTTCCCATGATTAGATAGATTGAGCAAAGAACGAGTTCAGAGTATACTTTTGATCAAGATAGTATTATGTGCTTTCATGGCCATTACTACATCCCTAAAGATGATGAGTTACGACGGGGTATTCTACAAGAGGCTCATAGTAGTCCTTATGCCATGTATCTTGGTGGGGGACAAAATGTAAAAGAATCTCAAGGAGCGATACTTTTGGAGTGGCATGAAGAAGGATATTTTAGATTTTGTGGTGAGGTGTTTGACTTGTCAACAGGTTAAGGCTGAGCACCAATATCCGTCGGGACTGTTGTAGTATATTAATATTCTTGATTTGAAGTGGGAGCGTATTACGATGTACTTCGTTATTGATCTTCCTCTAACTCCTTCCAAAAAGGATTCTGTTTGGGTGATTATGGATTGACTCACAAAGTCAGCTCATTTTATTCCTGTTCGGGTTAATTATTCTTTAGACAAGTTGGCTAACTTGTATATCTCCAAGATAGTTAGACTCCACGATGTTCCATTGTTCATTATCTTCAACCATGATTCGATGTTTACTTCTAGGTTCTAGAAGGCTTTGAACGAGGCTCTGGGTATTCGTTTGAATTTCAGTACGACTTTCCAATACTGATGGTCAATCAGAGCGAGTGATTCAGGTGTTGGAGGATATGCTAAGGGATTGTGTGATTGACTTTTTTGGTAGTTAGAAAGATTTCTTGCTTTTAGCCGAGTTCGCTTACAATAACGATTACCAGGCAAGTATTCGCATGGCACCGTATGAGGCTCTATATGGACGTCATTGTCGTACTCCTATCTGTTAGACCGAATTTCATGATAGGAAGACTTTGGGTCCATAGTTAGTTCGAGAGACTAGGGATACTGTCAAATTGATATGTGATCATCTGAGAGAGGCGTTCGATAGGCAGAAGTCATATACAGATCAATGACGGAAGGATATTGAGTTTGAGGTCAGGGATCAGGTTTCTTTGAAGGCATCTCCGTGGAAGAAAGAGTTGAGATTTGGACATAAGGGTAAATTGAGCCTAAGATTTATTGGGCTATACCGTATTCTGAAGAAAGTCAGACATGTTACTTATTAGCTTGAGTTGTCTCCCCATCTCAGACGTATTCATGATGTTTTCATATATCCATGTTGAGGCGATATCGTCTAGATCCAGGTCACATCATTCAGATGGGGGAGGTAGAGTTGAGACCTGATTTATCTTATAAGGAGGAGCCTATTCAGATTTTAGATCGGGATGAGAGAGTTCTTTGGAATACTTATATTCCGAAGGTCAAAGTTCAATGGAGTAACCATGGACCCTCAGAAGCTACTTGGGAGACATTGGAGTCAATGGAGGCTCGGTTTCCGCATCTATTTCCATCAGGCAAACTTTAAGGATTAAATTTCTTTTAAGGGGAGAGTTGCCACACCCTAAATTAGGGCCTAATTTTTTTTTAAATTTTTTCGATGACTAAATTGAAATTTTAATTAAATTTAGGGACCAAAGTGAAATTTTGATTAAATTCATATCCAAATTCAGAAACTATAAAAAATTAGAGGACCTATGGCATGATTTTTTTGGTTTTCTTTTTAGGGTTTATAAACCCCAAATCTAGAAAGTTTCCATTTAGAAACTAAATTTTTCTTTATTTTCAAACATTTACTCTTATAGAAGGAAACCTTTAATTGTCGATTTATCGTTGATTGTTGCTCCGTTTTGACACCTCTCGCAACATCGTGTTCCTTGCATCGTCCCGAGTCCTATGATGTCTACTTTGTCTCCATTACCGCCGGCGTGTGAAGGGGTGAAAAAGATTAAGCTTCCAACGTTTCGAAATCGAGCTCTCCGCCATTCACCGTTGTCAATTGAGCTTGGTAAGTGTCTCAAAATCCCTTAAAACGCAATTAGAAATTATTTTAGAATTTTTTTCGACCCCCAACAGCCCCACATTGCCCCCCACGCGCCGACCCTGCACGTAGGGAAAGTCCACCGCCTGGTGGACTGCTTGGAAATGGGTCGATCTGACCTAACACGTCGACCCGATCTACTAACCCGTGTCCGACTCGATCTGATCCGACCCAGTCCGACCGTTGATCATTGAGCGTTGACTGGTCGTTAAACGTTGATCGTTGACTGACTGTTAAACGTTGATCGTTAACTGACCGTTAAACGTTGATCGTTGACTGTTGACAAAAAAGTTAAAATTTTCAAAACGTCATATTTTATGTTTTTCGATGCCCTGAGTTCGATTCGGCGATTCATTTTGCCAAATTCTAACCCGAAATCCCCGAATCGAGCTCGTTAACCCAAAATTGCTTAGTATTTTTAGCTTTTTTGCTTATTTATTTGAGATTTGGTTATGGAATTGATCCAAGAAGATATTTTTATAAAGGTGCTCGTGTTTCACCTAACTGAGGGTCAGTTAGATTTGGTATTTCCTATTTGTTAGATCCACACGATCCGCGTTCCTCGAGAGTTACTCGTAGGTGTCTGTAAATTGTTTAAATAAAGGTTATTATTATTCATATTAGGGTTTTGTTTAGATTTTCTGATTCGTAGGATCTAGCACTGTCACTGATCGTGATCGACAGACTCAGTAGTAGGCTTTCCTATCAGATTACTCAGATTGGTGCAGGTGTGTTTCCTGATGGTGTTACATTACTGTTTTAAACTATCTATCCGAACTGTTTTAGATTTCTAAGGATACTAAATATTTTTACGAGACAATACCTGATTTTTGTAATATTGTTTATCTGATATCTGATTTACCACATAATTCTGATATGATCTCTGGTTACGGTATTCTTGTACCTGATTTATAAATATGGAACATTTTCATGTTTTAATGGATTAATCACTATTTTCACTCGAATATATACATGTTTATTACTATATTGGGGTGTATTATTGGAGGAAGTATATCAGGCCTAGTCTATGACTTGTATGACCTTGTCGCAGGCTCCTCGGCTTTGTGCTTAAGGTAAATCCTTACCGCACGTCCTTATGCTATGTGTATAAGGCCCTTACCGGGTGTACAAATGGGTGTATGGTTCTGGGGAACCTACACATTCTGGTGATCGGATGGGGGTATTGTTCATATTTTTAAACGTGTGTGATAAATCGATTTTACTGAAATATTTTATCTGTATGTTTTATACACCGTAAGGAACACACTAGGCTTTTTAGCTCATTCAGTAAATTTTAAACCTTTCAGATCGCAGCAAACCTTTAGCTAGCAGACTGGACATCAGAAGGACCAATTTCTCCTAATTTTGTACCATTGTATATTTCTATATGCTTTTTGTTATATTTTGGTGACAAATGTGTTTTTGTTATTGTCTTGATATATATGTATTACCAATATTTTGATATGTATATGTTTTATACTATTTTCTGACATGTATACATATATATATATTTATCGTATGAATCTTTCTTATGAATTTTAATGTTGTTTTAAAAATGAAAAGAATTTATGAATAAGATATGTAACCACCTAGATTTGGACATAACATCCAAACCGAATCTAAGAAGTTACAGTGAGAAGTGACAAATGCCCATTAGAAAATTCATAAAATTATTTCTCTATTTGAGAGAGATAATGAAGGGGACAAAAAATATACATGCTGCCATGGATTGTTTTTCTTAATATATTTTCCCTATAACGATGAAGTTTTTAGGGTTATAAAGTTTAATTCTAAAAATACTAATTTTAAAAATATTAATTTATATTTTATTAAATATAAAT